CTTGGGAAGGAAGAGAAATGAAATAGGGCAAACAAATCACCTTTTTTTTAATATAAAAATTGGGGGGGGGGCCTGTTTTTGTGGGGGGGTTAGAATAATCCCTGTTGGCTCCCCTGAATAAGCCCTTGTGTCTTGACGACTGTCGCCGATCTACTGATTAACAACCTCAAATAACAATTAAATTTGTTGTGATTTGAATATGTGAAGCTGTTAAAATCCCTAGAGAATGCTGGGTGTCATTCAGGTCTATCGGTGTGCTGACACAATTGGGAAGCTAAATTCTATTGTCATGAAATAATGTGAGTCTCCATAGGCCAAACAAAATAATAGTTGTGCTTCCTGTTACCCACCCCAGCCTAGCAAATTGGGGCGACCCTAAATCTTTTTATTGAAAAAAAAACTTAAAAGATAATGTTGCCGACCCTCATGCTTTCTGTATTTTTAGACACAAAGCTTTGTAATGCATTTAGATTTTTTACTTTTTTCTTAGCTTGAAAATTGACGTCTCTTCACATGTTAACTGGTCTTGCGATAGTTGTTGCTGTGATCATGATCAAGCACCATACAAATGCATGACACACCCATGGATTTTACACGGGGCCCATTCAGAGTTTAACATGACACCTGCTATTGTCTGTTGCTACTATTCGTTGCTGCATATTGTCTGCTCACTGTACTGGTAAGTAAACTACTCGTACATGTATCATTGATATTAAATGCAATAAGCAGTCTGGGATTCAGACTATGTATTGCTTTCATTCGCACGTCACATCACGCATGTTGTGCTTGAAGCTTGCATGTTGTTGTTGCACGCCCATAGTATACAGTGCAAAATTGGACAGAAACTGCCACCTCGTGACTCTCAAGGAGTGCGAAACAGCGCCACCTGGTGACTCTCAAGGAGGGGTTGGCCTCCCGCTTCCCTTTGGGAATTCAAGATTATGGCCAGAAGCTCATTTTTCTTTCCAATTTTACAGGGGTTAGGCCCGCTAATTTTTGTATTCACCCTTCACTGAAAACAGTCCCAAAATAGGAGTAAAATTCTACACTCAGCTCAGTGTAGCCGCTCACCTCATAGCAAAAGACATGTAGGCCCATGGGTTGAAGGCTTTGGTGAACGAAATACATGTATGTCAAGTTGGACAACAGAAGTCCCAAATTTGTGATTTATAAAAAATCTCTATGACCTCTTATTGTAAAATCCCAAAGGGATCACAAAATATTAATGAGCTCGTGCGTAGAAATCTGTCCATTTAGTGGTATGCACCCTTGTGCTTGCATGCATCATGGCAGTGGACAGCATGCTGCAGGCTGGCGGAGAAGAGTTCACCTTACAATTTCTTGTATAAGTTTTAGCTGTATCAATTAATTTCTTTGTCTTTCATTTCATGTAAATAAAGGTATGTTTGTGCAGATAAAGACATGTTTTGGCAGACTCATGGAGAAACTAGTTTCTGTATGAGTTATTAAAACCCAACCCAACCTGCTCCTCTACAGATATTTATAAATGTTTTAAGCCACTTGACCATAGATATTACATTCTAGTTTTGCTGTTTAGCCTTTCTTACATAGCTGAAAAATTTTTCATAAACCATCAAACTCACTTTTTAATTAAAAAAAAAATCCCACCCTAAAATATTTGACCCCAAAACTGCAGAAGAAAAAAACGATACTACCCGCCTGCCCCACCAATTTTTTTTCCTTACAATAGAAAGCATAACTATTATTTTGTTTGGCGTGTACAGTATAGTGTCTGGCAGTGTCTGCTC